GGGTGCCCCACCCAAAGGGCCATCATCATTGATTTCCATTGCTCTTGAAAGAGTTTGGCGTTCCCCCCTTTTCTGCAACCCGACGCTCCAAGACGGCCCAAGAGGCCCCAAAGACCACCCTAAGACGGGCCAAGAGGCCTCCAAGAAGGCCCCAAGACGGCCGAAGACCGCCTCGAGACGGCCCAAGAGGCGCCCAAGACGGCCCAAGATGGCCCCAAGACGGCCCCAGAAGGGGCCCAAGAGAGGGAACACGAATCGAAAATCCGAGCCTTCCGCTCCAAGATGCCCCCAGGAGGCCCCACGAGGCGCCCAAGAGGCCCAAAAGAGACCCCAAAGAGGCCCCCAAACGGCCCCCAAGAGGCCTCACAACTGCCTCCAACAGGCCCCCCGAGAGGCCTCCCACGAGATCCCAAACACATCCAACAGGCTTCATAACCACAACCTAGGCACAATGGCGGGATGGCCCGAAGGCCATTGGTACATACAGTGTAAACGCATGTATGCATGCATGTGTGTATACATGCATGTGTTATGTATGTATGTATGCCTGTCTGTCTGTCTGTATGTATGTACGTATGCATGTACGTATGCATGTATGCATGTATGCATGTATGCATGTATGTATGTATGTATGTATGTATGTATGTATGTATGTACGTATGTATATAAACCTGTATTCATGGACGTAGGTATGTATGCATGTCTGTATGTATATATTCATGCATGCATGCATGTATGCATATATGGGTATCTGGATGCATGCATGTGTGTATGTATGTTCGTTTGCTTGGTTGTGTACATGTGCATATATGCATATATATACATATATGGATGTATGCATGCATGTACATCTGCACGCCTGCATGCATGTATGTATGTTTGTATGCATGTGTAGGCTGTATGCATGCCTGACTGTCTGTTTGAATGCCTATCTGCACTTGTTTATATGTATGCACGTGTGTGTATGTGTGTACGTGTGTTTGTCTGTATGCATGTAAGTATGTGTGTATGCATGCACGTACGCACGCACGCATGCATGTATATACAATACATGCATGTGTCCATGTACATGTAGACATATTTATGCATACACATGTATATTTGTAGCGATGCCTGTCTGTCTGTCTGCCTGTCTGTTTGTCTGTCTGTCTGCCTGGCTGCAGTTCTGCCCGTAAACACGTATGCATACATTCATCTATACACACATATATCTGCTTAACCTTGTATGTGTACTACGACTGCTCTTGCTGCTACCACCGCAGCTACATCTGCTCTCAGCTTCCACGTCGGGTGTGCCAACACCCACATTGGAGCTCGCACCAGCAAGCCCATCTCGGGGGGGGGGGGGCGCGGGCCCGATGCGCCAGGGCCCCAGCGTCCGGCACGCGCAAGAAGGCCCGTCGTGAACGTTTGCCTGCGACGCCCTGCCCGTGAGGGGTCGTCCGTCGACGGCGGCGTCCCCGCCCCCCCGAAGGCACGGAAAACTTCTCGGAGGTCGCGAGGGCTTCCCCACGGAAGACAAGCACGGCTGCAGGGCGCTCACAGGCCCCCAGGCCCACCTCACCACAAGGAGGCGCACGGGTTGCGAATACCGCTTCCGTTCAGCAGGTGGCAGAGCACGTCCCTTTGTGGTGAGGTGCGCCAGGTAGTTCTTGGCGCTGCAATCCAGTGTTCGTGGCCACGCACGCCTGTCAGGAAGAGGAGACCAGGAAGGATAGGGTTTCCCAGAAGCCGCGCCGCCTTCTGAGAGGGTCTTCTCCTTCTCACTTCCCCCCCTCGCCCGCCGCCGAGGAAGGCCTGCGTGGACTTACGCGGGGAGTCGGGCGGGAAGGTATATTGCAGCACCGCTGGTGCGTCCCAGGTCTGCTCTGGTCCTCCTCCTCCTCCTCCCTCCTCGCCCTCTTCCTTCTCCTACGATAGGTTCGTGTGGCGTCAGAGCGCGCAAAGCTTTTTGACACCGCGCCGATCCTTCAACCTCGAACCGATCGCGGCCCAGATCGTCCATTCAATCCCGTCGCGCCCTCGGTGCTTCCGCGTCGTTTTACCATGCGGAGTTCAACCATGAGCGTCTTCGCCAGCGTCGCTGGCGCGCCGCGGCCGCGCGAACCTGCCGTGCCAGTCCGCCACCTCCGCGGCCTTCCCTGGGCCTCTCGCAGAGTGCGATCTGGCAGCTACTTCGAGGCAGATCCAGCCGTGGCGACGAGGGGACCCGGGGAGGCAGAAAAGGACCAGAGCGTCAATATACTAGGACGAGGAGAAAAGAACCTTCGTGACTCTACCGCGACGCCCAGGTCCGAGAGGTCTTCGGAGGCCTCCGAAGGAGAAAGACGACGACGACGGCGGCGGCGACGACGATGACGATGATGATGGCGACGACGACGACGGCGACGGCCTGAGGCTTGATCGGCGATGGCCCTGCCCGCGGCGAGACGACGTTGACGGCCAGCCATGGCCTGGCCCCAGGCCCACGGCCGCAGGCAAAGGGCGGCGGATCGCCGGCCTGCGGCCCCCCTCTGCGGCTGCGAGGCCACGCGGCTCTTGATCTCGCCCGCCATCGTCTGGAAGGCCTGGGAGGAGGAGGGAGGAGGAGGAGGAGGGAGGAGGAGGAGGGAG